ACATTTTAAGTATTTAGGAAAAGCAAAGGTTCTCATTCGGTAGGTACTTTACCAGTCCAATGAGAATCAACCCAGGTACTGGTTATTCCAGTTCCCCCAGTCTTTCACCTGGTGCTTCTCACCCACCCACTTAAGTTTAGAATTTATTTGACTATAATTTTAATAGTGACCACCATGATCCAGAAAGATATTGTCTTTGCAAATTCCTCAGTACTACAATGACCTCCTAATTGGTTTTCCTGTTTGGATTCTCATGCCCACACACTCCATTTCCACATACCAGTTTCAGTACACTCCTAAAGATGTAAATCACATCTTTGTCTTCCTAACAGCCTTCCAGTGACTGAACTGCCCAGACTGCCCCTGACTGCTGTGGATGGAATCCAGCCTTAGCTCACCCTGGCTCCCCAGGTGCGCCACCCCCTGCCTCATTCCGCTCCAGCCGACTGGCAGCCTATCACTTCCTGGGATGCTCTTTTCACAGCTTCTTCATTCCTGGCTTCTCTCACATCATGGTTCTTGGTCAAATGCCATTATGTTCAGTAAGGCCTTCCAGGCCACCTTACCTGACTGTCGTCTCTCTCACTGCTTTTTACCAGATCACCCAGATTACTTTCTTCATAAAACTCGCTACCATTGAAAATCATGTGGGTTGTTTTCTTACCTGTATCTTTCCCACAGAATATAAATTTGAAATGGGTATAAACTTCCTCTGCCTTTTTCCCCAATCCATCCTCGGGGTCTAGAATAAAGCCTGGTGTGTTTCAAGCCACTGACAGACTGTTTGGGGGATACTAAATCACATAAAGAATCACCAGTTATTTTAAAATATGCGAACGTAACATTGAAGAGCAGCATCCTACTGTTAATTCCCTTGCTTCTCCCCACAATACGGCAATCTGCATAAGAATCATTTCACAAAAAAAGAAACACTGTCTTTGGAAAGTGAAGAAAAAAATTTAGGCACCCCAGAAAACTCTAGGCTGCTTTCTTTTTCATTATAAGTAAGACAAGGTTCATGAGAGTAAGCATCAGTGCTCGATGCTTTAGAAGTTGAAAATTAGATCAAATGAATTGGAGGACAACTGCATCTCGTGTTAATGTTTCCTCCTCGAATGAAGAAAATGAGATGATGTGAGCCATGACTCCATTTGAAAATGAAACTTTGTATTTCTATTTGCTTCTACATTAAAGCACACTTTTTTTTTTCATTTTAGACAATTCATGTTGGTAAATGTTGCAATATTTTTACATTCATTAGGATCAGGCCCATTTACTATTGTGCAAGCAAGAAGCAAGACAAGCACAGATCTCTTGTCTCTATAAAGCATAATTTCTAAATTACATAATAAATGAGACTAAAGCAGAGAGACTCAAGTCTCATAACCCTACCATTAATGTGTTAAAAATAAAAATAGAACTTTAGTCAAAGTTCTACACTTTTAAAAGGTAAACTTATAAATAGTTTATTGTGTTCCTACTGTTCAAGTAAACCAGGAATACGTGAGTTACCCTGCCTTGTCTCCTAACTGACAAAAGTACTCAAAAAATAAGCCTTGGCTAATAAGATTTTTTTGCCTATCTTTTTCAAATAGTAATGCATAAGAAACTTGATTTTTTTATGGAATCTGTATTTCTGATTAGCTGATTACAGAAGTCAGAAGCAAAACCAAAATAAAGTGATGACTCCCTACGAGATGACAGTGAGCAAGCATCCTTAAATTTATAATTGCCCTTGGATCTATTTAATTTAGCGTAAAGTTACAAGGCATAATTGAGACAAATGGTTGCACTGAGAAGGTATCAAATATGACAGGAAACTGGCTACGATCATTTTGCTTCACTATTTCCATTTGAGGACTTTGTCAGACAACACTTTTCTTATAACAGCTGTTAAATTTTATAGGACTTTTCCCACCATTGGCTGCAATGGCATTTACATGTTAAATGCTCACAACAAATGAAAACCATGATTCCATTGTCTCACAGAGTGAAAACCATGGTTACTGCTATTCCGAATGAAGAACAAATCTAAAATGAATCATTTAATTCTTCCTTATTGTATGATATCTATGTAAGCTCTGTGGGAAAGCCTGTTTACTTTGCAGCTCTTCTATTTGTGAAACAGGATAGATTTTTGGACATGTAAGAAAACTGAAAATTCCACAACCAGTCAAGCAGAAGACACCTCAAATGTTATTTTTGTCTGGGGGATTTGTTTATAATTAAATATTATCCCCCCTCAAGTACATTTAACTAAGAAGTTTGTCCTTTCACAGAGTTATAAGCAAAATGCTCAACAGCTGCTTATGGCTGTTTGTTTGCCTGTTTTTAATGAAAAAGAATGTGACAGCAGTCTCCAGGACTTGTGTCTGAAGCAACATTCAATCACAGAAACAATGGGAAAGGCAGATATTTGGGGTTTCTAAGCCAATTTTCTCCTCCAAGAAAATTAATCAACTTACTCTGAAAGGCTTGAGATTTATGGTTCTAGATCATTATTCTGTTATTATTTATCGGGCAATAGATATTCAGGGTCATCTAAATCTACAAAGGCAAAGTATAAAAAAAACTGTGGTCCTGTAAACCTCTCAAAATTTATAACTTCTTGGTCATTCTAGATCTTTTAATTTGCTCACCTTGCGCATCGTTTCTATCAGCAATAACTTTCCAAGGCACTATCCCCCTCACCTTAGAAGCAACTAAAATTCAAGATACTCATACCCTGTGCACCAAATGTTTTCACAAGAATTCTGTTTCAAGAATGTTTCTGAAATAACAGAGTCTGTATTGTTATGAAACAAATATGCAAGCCTTTGTGAATATTCATTCTCTTGTGTTTTACTGGCTTGTTGCTTTGTGGGAAGTTTTTGTTGTTCTTTGGTGGGCTTGTCTTGCTTTTTAGTGGTGCTGTAGATTGAACTCAAGACCTCATGCTTGCTAATGCTCTACCAGTGAGCTAAGAGCTGCACCCTCAGTCCCTAAATTTTCACTTTAATTTGACCTCTCTACGATGTGTATTTGAACTATTTCTCATGCTTCTCTTACATCTAAGATAACTGACCAATAATCAGTTCCATATAAGAGTATGAATTGATTAAAAATTATGTTGTGTTATTAAAAGAACATCCTTGGAAATTGCTCAAGTACATATTTTAGAATTGCTAACTTAAAAGTCATTTTGCACCACCTCCCCTGAAGACTAGGTCTATAGATTTGAAGAGCACTACACAGACTGCTAAGGGAGAATATCAATCAATATTCCAACCCCAGCTTCAAGGCCTAATAACCACATCAATGGCTGGTACAGCAAACAATATGGGTGCAGTAGTGACACTTTTATCTTGAGGGTAATCAACAGCTACCTAATTGGACTTAAAGCCCATTCAAAGGGAGGAAACTCATATGTGGTACTGTAAACATAGCCAAATACACATGACTGGAAAGGTCATAGATCTTAGAGAAAACCCCAAGGCTGTCACATTCCTAGACAAATGTAATTTCTTACTATGTGCAAAATATGGATCCTTATATTTACAGACAAGTATCCCAGTCACCACTAATCAAAGAAGCTCCTTTTGCAACCGGCGGAAACTATTAACACAGCTCCACAACTGGTAACACACAGACATAGTCTCTGAATTGCCCAAGCCTAAGTAGCACATCTGCAATGCAACATCTACACCTAAGGCTCACAGAACATAGAACAAGGAGTAAAGAGGACACTAACGCATCTCTCAGTTCTCATCAATGAAGCACCCTCATGTAACAGAAAGTCAGGAACACAAAAGGTCACAAATGGCCAAAGCATGGAGAGTAAGAGTCTGCAGAGTACAGATCCCTGGACAGGACTCACATTATACTCCACCCACCCAGAGCTCAGGGACCATTGCAGAAGAGGGGGTGGAAAGATTGCAAGAGACAGGGAGGAGGTACACAACCACATCGAAATAGAGTCCTACAGGCTCCTGGGCCCTTGTTCATATGACCCTATAGCAAGGATGTCAGCATGTACAAGACCTATCCAAACTCAAGCAGACAAAACCTAGCACAGAACTGTGGAAATGGGCAACAAGCCCCAATCTTCCCCAAAGAATGGTTGACAGCTGATTAGTGCTGAGTGAGAAAAAGCTGATCTTCTTAAAGGGAGGGACTATAGATAGGCTGCCTAGACCCTAGTGGATGAACTTGCATTGAGAGACATCAGGGTACACTAACTTGACATGACAGGCCTTAACACAAATGAATTCCAGAGGGATAGGGGGCTATGGGAGGGTGTCAATGGGGAAGGGGTAGAAAGATGATTAAGATTGATTAAGATGTTCTGTATGAAACACAAAAACTCAGTGTTAAAAATTTACCCCAAAAAAGTCATTTTGCAATCTTTTTCTTCTCTACCCCTTTCTATGCTCCCCTACCACATCTAATCCCTGTACTATCTACCAAAAAAGGCAGAATCGAGGGGAACTGTGGTTGTTTGGTGAGAGAATCCATTAGAAGATTAAACTTATTACCTGGGAAGCTCCTCATCTGTTCACTTAGCCACTTGATTTTTTTCTCTTATGGCAAGGCCCACCGAAAATTTGTTGCAAATCACTATTGTTTTACATAAAGCTGTCCCCAAATCTGACCTGGTTTAGGGCTGTCAAGGGAAATATATATCCTGTTGCCAACCAGTTTTAGAGCTAAGCATTAGTTTTGATAGGCATTAATTTCCTTTCTCTGACTACATATAAACACATAGGCACACCAGGGTGAACTTGTCGTCATTCCAAAATAAAAAGGCAGTGGGCTTTGGATGTTGGTGCACACCTTACTGCCCCACTGTAGGCAAACTCTTTCTCTCTGACTTGGTTTCCACATCTTTGGACTCAGAGATGACATTTAAATTCCTATGGTGTTTTGTTCTCAGTTTAGGAAAATGAGTCAAACACCTGAGATGATAATTGACTTTATTCCAACATTACATTCATAATATTAAAACTTTTGCTTTACTGTTTAATATTCCTTAATATTCTTCCTGGAAATGTTGCCTTCCAAAATACTTCAGGAAACTTACCATAAATCAGTTTCAATGAGGTCAGTGCAACCTATACATCCTCTTTGTAAAAAGTTTTCTTTTCTTGCATTATATAAATACTTAGCCCCAAATCAATCCAACTGTTGTTTCTCAACAATTTTTGAAGTAAAATACTGAACATTTTGTTTGTGATGAGAAGGTTGGAACTACTCTCAGTTTATCTCAAATAATACTGTGAAAACACTGATAGTTTTGAAAATGGAAACTACTTCACTACTATTTTCGTTTTATCTAATGAACAGAGAAGAAAGGCTCGGATTCAAGGAAGACAAGGTCATACGTCAGAATTGTGCAAGTACAATTGCTACAAATTTTAAAGACACATTTTGTTTAAGATGCAGTTTGTCAGCTGAGCAGAAATGTCAAATCTATTTGAGACATTAAAACATATCACAATCTTTCAAACAATGAGTGGTTATCTACATGGGTTACTTAGAGCATTTTCATATATTAAGACAGTAAGTTATATATAGGTATATGTATACAGAATTGCATGCTTATTAGCCAAGCCATGACACAGAAAGTTATTGATGTTTGATAACACTGACTGAATTGTTGGCAAGCCCCCAAAAGATCATGCTGACAACAACCCTGATTCTAGGCATCAAATCCCCAGATATTGGTTCATTTTGTTCAAGGCATCACACACTGTGTTCAAATCACTACGTAGGTCCTGCACGACATTTTCAATACTTCTGGTATCTTTCAGAATTTCAATACTCTGCGTGTAGGGATTGAAGTATACTGAGAAGGGGCGGGTAATTGACTTTGCAAAGTCCCTGTAGAATAAACAGAAATAGAAGGAATAATCAATCCCCATTGATGCAAAAACTAGACAGATAAAAGGAAAGAACAGTCAAAAAAGAAAAGAAAAGTTATTTTGCATAGAAGGAAGGACAGCAAGTTTACCTCATCTTTTCTTTGGCTTCTTCAAAACTTTCTGAAACAAAGTAGGCATCCTGGAAGGTGGTGATTAGGCACTCTTGTAAGCAGGTTGTCTTTGGATCGAAGGCTTTCACACACGCCTTGTCAGAAAGAGCATGCTGCAAAACATACCACAAAGCCCATTCAGCTCTGTAATGACGTTTCCAAATTGCCATGACATCATGCTTAATAGCTAAGTCATCCATAGGACTGCTCAGTTACCAGTCTGCCATGAAACATAGAACTCTCCCTGTGGAGGGTAAATTGGGTGTAAGGGAGGGGTGTGGCTGTCTGTTTTGCTTTTTTAAGTCTCATATATGTTAAGGTAGAAAATGTGATTATGCTAGTTTATTTATTATCAAATTCATGCTGAAGGACAGTTCAGAGCTATATCCTAACACAAATGGAATTTTTCAATCTATGCTATGAATAGAGAAGCAGGTACAGCACAAATATGCTCCTAAATTTGTTGCTATAAGCAATGTACTGAAATTTCACTTAAATGGCAGAAGTAATAATTACCTACATGGAGAGGCAATTAGGACTCTCACTGAACTATTTGTGGATTCGTTGTGAGACATTTTGAGGCCAGGCACTGTGTATCAACAGAGACTGGAGTAGGCCTGTACAGTCAGGGGTGCTTGGAAAACACTCATTTACCTTCCACCAAGTAAGTACAACAGAGCAATGCACCACAGATAAATATTGCCAGTGGCCAATATTAATAGTTGTGCCCAAAGCAGACATTAGACAAACAGGAGCACCATTAGCTCTGTTCAGTTCACCACATGACTGGAATTAAGATCATCAAGGAATCCTGAATGACTGTATCTTCATGACAAATTCAATGATGCTAGAAGTTAATGGCCATTTCTTGCTACATGTCACACGCCTGTTTCTAGGCCCTAGGTGAATGATTCAGAAACATAATGTACAGATGAATCTTTGAGGAGAAAATGGAAAGATACCCAAGCCTCAGTTTTATTCAATAGATCTGAATGAAATACAGAAATGCACATTTTAAAGGCATCCAAGGTGACTCTGACATAAGTGATTGTGGGCTATATTTTTACTTTGTATTATTTTTATTTTTAAATTTGTTTTATTGAATTTTTATGTATTGCATACAGAACATCTCTGTGAACTATATTTTGAGAAATACTCCTACAGAGTTTGTTCTTAATTTAAGGGGTAGTTCAGTTGGAGAGGGGGAGAAAAGAGTAGCAGAAAGTGCCTTGACCTAAGTGTTAGAAAATAGAGGCTGTGTATAACTGTAACCTTGGCAGATCACTTAAGCTCCCAAAGCCTCTACTCCCTTCACTCTAGGCGAGACATTTATGCTGGATGGTTCTAAAGATGCTCCATAATGTAGATTCTTGATCCCACCCAAAGCACTTCTCTCTCTGTGTCTCTGCCTTCTCAACTAAATAGCTAGCATTTCTTGAAGAATTCCAAACCAAGACACACCCCCATCAATATTCTTGGTGCATTCCCTCCAACAGTTTCAATATTCACATAATTATTTATAGCTCTTGGTGAAGAAAGTTGTGGTTCCCTGTGTTGAAAATGTAATTGAGAACCAGTACTGACATGAAGTTAAGGGGGCACAGGGCTCATGATTTTCTTTCCCACAAAGTTCTGTTGTCCAGATCAATGCATATATGAATCATGAAATATAGAAGACCTCTCAGAGTGAACTCATTATTTTTGGCCTACAAAACAACTCCATTATAAACCAGAAGGCCATTATACCTACAAATGTACTTGGGCTAGATTCAGCACAGTACAGTGAACATCAGGTGATTTTGGTTCCACATGACCAATAATTCTGTCCACATTTTGCAAACAACTTCACAGTTTTACAAAATAAAATGTTCTTTGATGAGAGCTGTTGCTCCTTTGCAAAGATTTTGCTTCCTATTGGCTTGTCATGGTTTTCAGAATTAGAAGTTGCTTTCTTTGCAGTCATACACTGTTATTACATTTAATTAGTGTGTGTTACTCAAATTATCCATTCATCCATCAGTGCACATTGAAGGAGGAACACTGGCTGACTCAGTGTCCTCAATCTGGCTACTCTGTCATTCCCACATCAGGGTGTAGACAGACTGGTAGCAGCATAGGCTAGACCATTTAGCCATAGCTTCCCTACGACACCTCTGCTGAGCCACTTTTCCCTGGGTCAAGGACAAGCACAGAAGGAAACAAAACTCATCTACTTGGTTCTCTAAACTTTCTAGAGATTAATAATCTTATCAGTCAATATGGGGGGGGGCTGCAGAATAACAGTGACCGAAAACAGTGTGGGGTCTCAAAACTTCATTGTGTGACTATTTTACTGGGATATCCAAATGCCTACTTCATCCATTTTAGGAAGAAAAGAGGATCAGAGATCAAGAAAAGTCCCAGAGATCAGGGTGCCCTGCCTCAGATTTCAAGGAAGAAAAAAAGCACTGAGTTTACAGTTTATAGTGTAAGACAAAGATCATTAGGCAATATAGATGACATTTGCCTGATAAAATAGTTTACTGAAAAACTGGAAGTTGACTGGTTTTCATTGCTGCTTGGTTGGTTGGTAGTTAGTTGGTTGGCTGACTGGTTGGGTGGTTTTTGTTTTTTTAATACAGGGTTTTACAAGGTTCCACCTCCAGATGAAGAGCTACAGGTAATCTATGACTGATGAGAGAGGGAGAATCAGTTTTCTCGAGGGACAAGCTCCCTGATAGGTTATCCAAATCCCTAGTGGTCAGCCTAAGCACATGTGCATATGAGCAACATTAAATAGACTCAGCAATGTTTCATATATATATATAATTACACACATATGAAGTAATAATTAAAGAAGTCACAAAATTGACAGGGAGAGGGAGGGATGGAAATTATGTAGGTGCAGTATTCATATATGAAATTTTCAAAACAACAAAAAAATTTTAAATTATTAAAAAGGCAGAGCCCTGGAGAGATGGCTCGGTAGTAAAAGCATGTACCTCTCTTGTAGAAGACCAGAGTTCAGGTTGAAACATCCACACAGGGTGGCTCACAATCACCTATAATTCCAGCTTTGGGAGAGCTGATGCCTCTGGCTTCTGTGAGCACCCACACACATATGCACATACTCACACACAAATGCACGTACATAATTTAAAATATTTTTAATGCGGAGTTTCACTATGTAGTCCAGGCTAGCCTTGCACTCACTATCCTCCTGCTTCAACTTCCCAAGCGTGGGGATGACAGGGATGTACCACCAGACCCAGCAGGAAGCTTGCTGTTTTAAGTGCTCAAACTTTTTATTCTCAGGAATTGTGCATAATATCCTGCTTCACAGAAGCCTCTCCACACACAAAGTATGGAACAATGCTGTTCCTTGTCTGTCAGTGAATACAGACATAGTAACAACACTTAGTCTGGAGTTGAGGAAGAACCTATAAAGGATCTCATTCACCTGATAACTGGTTCTCCTGTGTGATGACTGGCAGGAATATCCATGCTGCCCCCGCAAGGTCTCCATCTCTGATTATGCCTATGTGTCCCAAGAATTATAAAATAGCATTCACATCTCCCTTGATACCAAAGTTTTCTGTCCAATAGACAGTTGGATTCTTGACTCTCTCTTCTCTGTAAGCCATCTTACTTTGGGGGAGCTGCTATTATGCCCTCTCCTGTATGTAAGAGAGAGGTCTCTGTAAATATTAAGTAAAAGTTCTTGTTGTCACTGAGGGACTCTGTGGTGAATCCTCTCTGAAGTATTAACCATCTGAAGTCCTAAAGTCTTCAAGAATTAATCTAATTTTCTATAGAGAAAATCTTTATAATACGACCAAATCTGGATGAAAGTATTTTACTCTCAAGTCATTTCAAAAGTACGAGAATGTTTGAAAGTTATCTGCCCTTAATGAACACTCTACAAGGACAATTTTGGATTTTTCCACAGTGTCAAAGACAAAGGCATAAGACTGGAACTGGTATACATGGGTGCTCAGTGTGGCGTTCTCACAATCTAGGCATGCTGGCAGAGTTAGATATGAAGTAACCAAGGAAAACTGCAGCTGAGTCTTGGAAGCTATGCTTCTTAATTGTCATAATTCCCCTTTGTGATTAAGCATCTTTGAAGCTAAAGTCAGGTGCTTCCTGCTATCTCAGAAATCAAGACATCCAGCAGACTTTCCCAGTTGTCACATATTTGCACTAACCAAGAGCCTGCATCTTTAAAAGACCCTAGTTTCATTCTACTTGCACTGTGGTTTTGACATCCGCTGTCTTGGCAGCCTTTTCAAGCAGATCATGGGAAGAAATACCTTAAAAGGGAGATGAACCGTTCTTAATTACCATCACATTGCAAAACTGTGCAGCAGGGAAAACTCTAAGAGACAGGTGTGGGGAGGTGAGCAGGAGTCTCCCATCCTGCCCCCTGTGGTTGCCCAGGATGGAAGTCTTTGTTTTCCAAAGTTTTCACATTCCTAGAACCTTTGTGGCCATATGCTACCTTGCTTAATTCTCACATGTACCTTTTACTTAATTGTCACCTATGTGCTGTTTTGCCTTTTGTTTCCATTTACCCACACATGAGTATAAAAGCCCCCAAAAACTTGAAGGAAGAAAAGGGAGATGAATAAATATTCATCAAAACTTCTCAAACAATCCAGAGCCCCCACTTCAGATTGTCCCTTTGAGGTCCTTTTGCTCCATTCTCTCTCTGGAGTTACTCACTTTGCTTTGCTGAATAAACTTCCACTTAAATTCTATGTTTCTCAGCTATATTCTTTCCTTCAAGAAGACAAGAACAGAGGAGAAATCTAACAGCATGACTAACTAACAGCTAACAGCATGATTCCAGATGAGAGGAATTATCCCAAAATGGGACACAGTTTCCCCTTTGATAAATCCAAAAGATTAACCTACAATAATCTGAGAATCTTCTTGCAGTGATTTTTTTCATGTGTATGAGTGTTTTTTAAATGTATTCTATTTACTTTTATTTTATGTGTATTAGTATATTGCCTTTATGTATGTAAGTATACCCATGTTGTACAATGCCCACAGAGGTCAGAAGAGGGCATCGGATCCCCTGGAACTGGAATTAGCCACCATGTGGGTTCTGGAAACTGAACCCAGGTCT